AATCATATAAACTACATTCTCATTCATACAACCTCATGTGATTCTTTCCAATTGTTGACTGAGACAATACCAACCCGGTTCTTACATGTTCTCACAACAAATTTTAACAGTAAATGAACTGCATGGATTTAAATCATCACAACTTCTTCCATCATTAAAGATCAATACTCTCTACAACTTCCATTCAAAACTTAATTACTTATCATTTTAAGAAGAAAGATAAAGAAAACTACTTAGAATCCATGGAGGAAACAAAAACACACTTTAGTTTGAAAGAAGAAATTATTGTCAAACCAACAACAAGTCTCAATTAAAACCAAAAGTAGTATAAAAACAAAAAGATAAAAACTTATCTCAAGTCCTCCACCAAAATCTTGAGGTTCCTTTGAATCTCTTCTCTTTTACAATCACTCAAAATAAAATAACAAAAAGGATAAAGTAAATAAAAAGTGGTTTCTAAAAATCTCTCCGAACTAACTGCCTAGAGAAGAACTTTCAAAACTTGTCAATAATTTCAGGATTCACACTTTTTTGGACCTTTTCAGGACTCTTTTCTAAGTCCTCTCTTCTTTCTTTTATAGTTTTTCAAGAGGTGCCTTGGGATCTCTTCAAAATGTGTCTTAATTCGATGTATTTTCCCAAGAGACACATCCTTTCATGATAATTTTTGTTCATGGTGGTTACAACTACCTATTAAGCCCATGTGTCTGACCTAGATTTGGTCGTGATTTCTTAATTTGCAATTTTTGATCCTCCTCAAGTCCTTAAACACACACATTAAGCACATCTACATTATCTTATGCTAAAGATAAATGAGGAGCACTCATCCCCCTTCTCATCACATCTCCCTTCTCTACTTCAAAATCTCCAACAAATTCTCCTTCTATATGACTGTTGGGTGCTTATACAAACTTTTGGTAAAGATATTGTGATCCACATAGCACCTTTACGATTTGCTTATGTGTTGCCAACCTTTAAGCACTATATTGTCCAATAAAGTATGCACCTCTGTCAGTTCAATGAAAAAATCATTTACATGCCCCTCTGATAGTTGGTCTACCAAACCATCATAATAGATGAACGGGGTAAAAAATAAGAAATAAAGAGTTAAGATGGATGTATCCTATTCTTAAACTCAACATGTCTCCTGTAAATTGACATGGCCAAAAATGTACTATTTTTTATATATATTTAATGCTCATTTTTAGTGATATTGCACTTTTATGGAAGGTATTTTATATTTTTTATTATAGGTATAAGAAGTTAAGAAATTGGAACAAATGGAGCAAAAATGGAGCAAAGAAGATAATTTTTTTCTGGCGCCTAGGTCTCAGGCAGTTAATTTATTTATTGAGAAGTCTGGTGCTTAGGAGCTACAGTTGGGCACCTTGGCGCCAGAAACTGATATGACATTTTTTTAAGCATTTTGGACGAAATTTCAAAGGTGTGTGTGGGAGGTGTGTCTCTTCTAGTGGGGGGTGTGTCTATTGCAGTGAGGAGGATGTAGATGACATTAAAGGTGAAGATTTCTAAGTGTTTGGGGTGCAGGAGAAGGAAAAAGTTGGAGATTTCTTTCATTCACCGCATTTCTGAGTGATATTCAAGTGAAATTGTAAGGAAAGTTGAGAATTCTTCAAAGGAACTTAAGGAGATTTTCTTGAGGAGGAGTTTGAGATAAGAGTTTTGTAGTTTTGTTTAAATTTTGTTAAAATTTATTTTGTAAACCTTATTTTAAATATCAATTCATGTGTTGTTATATTTTTCCCATGAAATCTGAGTAGTTTTCTTTATCTTTCCCTTGTGATAAGAAATAATCATTTGCAAATGATTATAATTATTTAGAATTGCTTTAATTTCAATATTGTGTTAGTATATTAGTTTATGGTTAATTTACTTATTCAATTTGACCAATTCATAAGTTAAAAAATATTGTGAAAACGTAATGACCCAGAAGGGCTATGCTTTTCCTCAATTAGTAATTACTACACTAACCTTTAGAATGAAGAAAAATTAATTTTAGGGTGAGTGCAAATAAATAGCGAGATAAGTTTGGACGGGTATAAATTGTTGATTCTAAGTTAACAGGCTACAACCTAAAGCAATTTGATCTAGGTTTTGGAACTTAAAGCTAAGTTAGCTAAATTGAGGGCTTACATAGGCACTCTAGGGCGACAGGCTAGAATCTACCCAACATAACCAAGGATTTAGGAACTTAACTCCAGGTTAGACAATGTTTTTTATGCACTCAAAAGAGGGTAAAGATTAAGTATACTCCTATTTGACACAAACCTACATTTAAATTTATAAACATTTGATTCCTACATTGATTATAATCTCACTGCAAGGAGAAAGACTTCCATATACTTTGAACTCTTCTACATAAAGCTAGTTTAGAAACACTTAACATTTTCGTTAAGTTTATAAATAGAATTAGTAGGTATTAGTACTCCTTCTAAAGCATAATTTTGATATTCATTTCCAGATAAGTTACATGTAGTTTAAGTAGAGTATTAGTAAGTCTATAAAAAAAATTTTCATTCCCTGTGGGATCGATACTTTGAACTAGAGAAATTCATATATTACTTGAACGATACGTGCAATTACATTTTTAACCTAGTGAATTTTTGAATTCAATAATTAGAAAATACATTTTAAAATTAGTAATGCCTACATCACTAGAAGTAGCCGCTATAAACAGATAAAATTATATTATCAGCACTGAACCAGCGGATCATAAATCCTTATGTTTGATTGAGAACTAGGGTGTAGCATACTTGGTTGATTTTACTATGAAAAAAGACATACTAAAATTAAGTACAATGAGAAGAATAAGGATTCACTTTCTTCCAGTTCACACTATATTAATAAAGTCAAAGCACTACAAACCTAATCATTAACACACAAATACAAACAATTCACACAATAACAAACAACAACCACAAACACAAATACAAACTTAGGTCATTTCCTAAGAAACACTTGATTTAACGTCCTCAGCCAGACGAATCCAGATATTTACTCAAGTTGATCCAACATTAAAATCTCATTTATCATCTGTCTCTTTCCTTCTAAGTAGGGTTTAAGTCTCTGTCCATTCACTTTAAATACCCAACCACTCTTAAGATCTTTAATATCAATTACACCGAAAGGATAAACTTTTACCACAACAAATGGTTCAGACCACTTGACTTAAGTTTTCTGAGAAATAATGCCAATTGTGTATTATACAATAAAACCTCCTATTCATGCTCAAAATCATTCCTAAAAATAGTTTTATTCTGCCACTCTTTTATTTTCTCTTTATAAATTCTCACATTTCATAAGATCTTGTTTAATTTCATCAAATTCATTTAACTGTGGTAATCTTTTCTCACCAGCATCCTTCAAATTGTAATTGAACTCTTTAATACCCAAATAAGCTTTGTGTTCTAATTATTCTGGTAACTGACAAGCTTTATCAAATATGAGCCTATATGAAGACATTCATATAAGTGTTTTATAAGCAGTCCTATAAACCCATAATGCATCATCTAATTTGAAAGACCAATCCTTTGTATTATGATTAACAGTTTTTTCTAAAATCCTTTTGATTTCTCTGTTAAATACTTTGGTTATATTACTCGTTTGAGGATGATATGTTGTGACAATTCTATGTTTAATTCCATACTTAGTCCTTAATGTCTCAATTTTTCTATTCCTAAATGCGTCATCTAATCAGTAATGATCACTCTAAGCATACCAAATCCACTAAATATATCTCTTTTTAAGAATTTTGCAGCATTTTGAGCATCACAATTTGAAAGAGACAACGTCAATTCATTTTAAGACATAGTCCACAACTAACAAAATATATAAATTCCCTAAAGATGGTACAAGGCACCCATAAAGTCTAAATCTCAAACAAAAAAATTTTCAATCTCCAAGTAAAATTAAGGGGCATTTTATCACACTTAGAAATATTACATGCTCTTTGACATCTATCACAAGTTTTAATACATCTGTTCACATTCTATTAACTCCAAAATCTCCTCCAAACTTTGAATCAAGACCTTTCTTAATACTTTCAAGGGTTTCTTCTACAAGTAACATCTCTTAATCACGTGATTCTTACATTTTTTATAAGGGTATGAGTTGTCCCAAAAGTAATATCTAGCGTCATGGATGAATTTCTTTTGTTGATGGTATGCCAGACCACATGACATAATATCACTAACTATAAATTTTTTTATGTTAGCATACCATGGAATATGTCATTTAGTAATAACAAACATTTTTTCATCCGGAAAATTATCATTGATCTCATCTTCATAATCATATGAATTCCCCTGATCTAGTCTTGATAAATGGTCTGCTACTTGATTCTTTGTACATTTCCTATCCACCACTTCGAAATAAAATTCTTGCATCAAAAGAATTCATCTAATCAATTTCGGTTTGACGTCCATTTTTGACATCAGATATCGAATAGTGCCAATATCAACAATTTATTTTGTTTCAATCAAATAAGTCCAAAATTTATCAAAAACATATACTATAGCCAATAGCTACTTCTCAGTAGTAGTATAATTAATTTGAACTTAATTAAGAGTTTTATTGATATAGTATATAGTTTTAAGCATCTTATCAAGCTGTTGTCCTAATACTGTCCCGATAACATAGTCACTACTCACTTGCATCGCACATTAACTCAAATGGTTTTCCCCAATCAAGTGATATAATAATAAAAGTAATTACTAACTTCTTTTTTTTGTATTATTAAAGACATGTAGACATATATGGTCAAAATTAAATAGAATGTCCTTTTCTAAGAGATGACATAAATGTTTAACTATTTTAAGAAAATTCTTAATATATCACATATAAAATTCAATATGTTTCAGAAAACTTCTAATTACTCTCACAATAATAGGTAGAAACACTTTTTAAATTACTTGAATTTTTGTATTAATAATATGCTATCAATTGGCGTTTTAGATGAAAATTATGTAAAAACCCCTGAAAATACAAGTGAGAAACGGATCTTTCCCTTCGCTGTCCTGCCCCAAACCTTCGCATATCGTCCCGTCCCTCGCTCTCCCGGTTCGCCCAAACCGTCACCTTCGTGACCGAACCCACGCAATACCCTAGACCGTAAACCCTAAGACATTGAAAATTCTCATCTTTCTCCTCCTTCAGCTCTGCTCCTACCCGAAATCATTGAGGAAGGAAGGTAATACTCGTCTTTCAACCCATTCCTCGGATTTACGAAATCCCGGATTTAAGGCAAAACAGAGGAAAAAGGGGAGGATTTAAAATGTTATTTTTGCTGGTTGGTGGATTTAGGTTAATTCCCGCTTAAAGCCATAAAGCATTCCGTTGAGGTTCAGTTATCCTGTTCACGCCCAAACAGAATTTCTGCTTTTTAGGAGATTCAAGCTTTAGCATTCCCCCTCATGTTTAAGTTTGCAAATCTTCAATTTTGGGCTTATGGTTGATTCAAGTATACCATATTACAGTTTGGAGATTCAACATCTTTTTAAATGCTTCTTTTTAGGGGAATCGCAAATATACTTATTATACAGAAATTCGTTACTTGATAGAGCTAAATAATGGCAGATCTCTCGACATATTGAATTACATAAGTTTATGTGACTACTTTCGTTTAACTATTTTTATACTGTTAAGCTTCGGTGATTTCATCGTTTCTTGCAGTCACAACTTCTCATTCTCCCGAAAATTGGTTATTGAAAGCCAAAGGAGGATTGTTTAACATCTTCTGGGACATCCTACTCTATCACGTAACAGAGGGGGACGCATAAACCCGTTGAAAAGATAAATGAAAGGGGAAGTCAAAGGTGGGAAGGGAAGGAGCTTCCCGGTGGATCCAAATCTCCCAAGGTGGGTCTGCCAGAATTGCCGCCATGCTCTCTGCGCTGTTGATGCGGACTCCTATACCCACAAGTTCTTCAGTGATCCATCTCTCTCTGGTGAGGGCTTGGCCTTATTTTTCCTCAATGTTTTGGTTATTCTCCTTTCCAATTCATATTTGGAGAAACCATTCAAATTTTATTTTTTACACGACCGATTTACTAATGAAAATCTTGATTTCATTCTAGTGAGGAAGTACATTTTTTTTTTTGTTTTTTTAAGAATTAAGTTTATGTTCAAATTTTGACTTTGTAAATTCTCTTTTGCTTTGGATTCGAAGAAATCTATTTTGATTACTGTTTATTGATTATCGGTTTTATATAAAATCTGGGTATTTTTCGCAAGCTTCTTAGTTTATAGTGTTTTCCTTGTTTATGCTTATACCTTTTGTTAGAAAAAAAGAGTAAAACGCTTGGGGGATGTAGATAGCATAAGTCCATCAAACGAAATCAGTAAAATAAGCTCATAGAGGGTTAAAAAGTTCATCAAGGGAGGGAGCAGAGAGGGAGGGGGGGGGGGAGAGAGAGAGAGAGAGAGAGAGACATACAACCTGCAGATGCTCTAGTTACGTAAAATAGAGAAAGGAGAGATGAATGGAGCTTACAAACATACATATGTTATTGTGGTGGATTAATTATAGTGGCAGGGAGGAGGGAGAGGCATACAAACATGCATCTGTAATTTAGTAGCACAAAATACATAATGAAGGAGGGAGGTGTTTATGTTATTAAGATGCCTTAAAAGATGGTTTGGTTTGCTATAAAGAAATGCTATGATTGAAATGTATTATATTTGAAATAATTTGAACTTGTTTGATTCAGTGTAAAATAAATTCAGGATTTTACTTTTCTATTTTTGTTCTGAAGAAAAATAAAACCATTGTTTACATAGTTGACATTGATGCAGATAACAGTGGTGGCCGGGGGAGGCCATGATAGAGCGGGGGTGGTTGTAGGGTGGGCGGGGGGGGGGGTGTGTGTGTGTGTGTGGGGAGACAGGGGTGACAACGACAAGGGCTACAATATGGCTATAAACTAACTGAGTTTAGCCATGTAGAAACCTGTTCAAGTTCAAGCTCATTTACTAAAAACTTATTCAAGATCGGCTTGAGCTTGATCCAACCTTTTAGGATATTTTAGGATGCTATTCAAGCTTGGTTCATTTTTGATTCGTTGTTGTCCAATCTTTATTTTACATAGCTTTAATTGTGTAGCTTGTTCAACCTTACTGAGCCAAGCTCGATCTAATTATGGATGTAAATAAATAATGACTTATTAAACTTTAACAAATCAAAATAATCTAGTTGTGTTTAGAAAATTAAAATTTTTATTTTAAAAGTCTATTAAACAGATGAAAGCCCCACTCATTCAAGCCAACATGCCCATGTGATGTTTGAAATGTTCGGAGCATGGTGTGATGTCTCTTCATCCGAACAACCATAATACATGTATTTTTTGATGCCAAACTAAAAGGATAAAATGTAAAAGGCTTAAATGTTTCACGTGAAAGCTTAAATGACCCTATTACTGATGAAGTGAATAAATGACTGAATGAATGTTTTGGATATATTATTTTTATTTAATAATTTAAATTACTTATTATTTAATAATATAAAATAATTTGATTTTTAAAGTTTTTTAAACCATACTTTATGTAAATTAAATTATAATTTAATTATAATTTATATTTGATTTAAGCCACCATTGAGCTTTAATTCATCATCTTAATGAGTTTGTTTATGAGCTTTAAACAATATTGTTCACGATCTTAAACGAATAAAACAACAAAGTGTTCAAGCTTATTAATTTAATAATTGAGTATCTAAAATACTATTCATGCTTGTTCGGTTACTTAATTAAATGATCGTAAATGAGCTATAATCATGTCGAGCCATGAGTAGCTTGTCAAATGCTCAATTCATTTACAACCCTAGGATGCAGTTTGTCGTTGTTTTGTAAGTTGGCCAAATTTGGTGAATTTGGAATACAACAGTTTTGAATTGCAATATAAATTCTAAATTTACAAAAAAATTATAGTGCATTTCAATTTTATCTAATAAAATGTCAAAATTTTGAAAACTCTTGTATTCTGTTTACTTTACGCTATAAATTCATCCAACTAAACAACTTCTAAATTTGTGGGAAGGAGACAAATTTCAGAAAAACGATAAACATAGCATTTGCAATTCATTTGATGAAAATATTTGACATAATTTGTAATTTGGAGGGAGATATTGAGGGAGTTGTAAAAATCAAGTAACAAAAATGTTATTGCTTTGGATGATTAATTTTATACATTATTTGAGATTATAAGATATGAAGCTAAACACTCATCTCCTAGTTTCAAATCTTGTATATAAATGAAAATACAACATGAAGTTATTATAATTAAAGTTAAAGGTTTTGCTTTGGAAGGCTAATTTGGCACATTATTTAAGATTATAAGATATGAAGCTTAATGTTTATCTCCTAGTTCCAAACCATGTATATAAATCAAATACAACTTAGAATGCTTTTTTAAACAACCAAAAAGATAAAATTTGTAAGTCATATCATGAGTATTTTAGGATTAATTTCTAGGCTTGTAATAATTTTTAAGTTTCTTAATCAAACGGAGCAATTAATACTTACAATTTTTCAATAACTTAATTCACTTCCATGGTTAGACTTACTATTCACCAAGCTACAACACTTGGTTCTAAAACTTGGTTCACCTCCTCAAACTGGTATTCATGCAGTATAACATGATCTGAAGTTTGATTAAGTTCTAGTTGTGATGGTGCTTTACTTCTCATAGGCTTTCTTAAATCTTCAAGTGTTTTATTACAATGATTGTTTATTCATGCCACCTTTTAGATGGGATTTGTAAGATTTGTTGTAATAAGTACTTCTATTATGAGTGATAATGACATAGTTCTACATGCATGTGGAAAAAAAATAATGTTTTGTAAATAATGAATCTCAATTGAAGAACAATCTCTAATCTATAGTTCAGATATATTTTTTTTTAATAAAATATTCCCTTGTTCATTTTACAACTAAAAGGCTGGCTGTCTGGTACGAGACTATTTAATGGACTTGAGATTATCCACTTTGACGATTTAGTGATAACATTTCTGCTAGACTCATTCATTCAAGGAGTTGTAGTCCGATCTAATACATAGATTTAGTAGAAACAACCAAGTGTTGGTTGTGCAACAATCCATCTTTATTTCACCCGTGCCACTTATAAATTCATTTTGAATTACTTTAGCTCATCCATGGTGGTTTTGATTATCATAGTTGTTTAAAATTTTGAATGTCATTATTTAATTAATCATTTCAATGAAAAATGGTGAAAAAAAGTTCAGGGAGTTTTTCTTCTTTAAATTTTTCTTATTACAAATTTTGTTTAGTAGAATTATAAGCACCGACACTACTTTATCAATAAATAGATACTTTCTCGTGGCCATGTTTTTTCAATTTCCTTATTTTAACGAGCATTAGTGAAACATCCTCATATCAATAGGCAACTCTATGTTGTACATTGTGATTGATCTTCTTGTTCTTGTAATGTTCCTCTACTATTGCTCAGGTTTTTTTAAGTGACCATTTCATGTCAAATTGTTATTTTTTTTCCTTGATAGTTTATATAATGCAATATTTTTAAATTTTTGCAATTTTTTTCTAATATAGATTCTTTTTACTTGATGTGGGATACATGCTCGTATCACAGTATATAACAAGTAGAAATAGCATATATATCATTTGATTATTTGGGTTGGTTACGAGCCTATATAGTGTATCAACTCTATGTATAGAAAAATTAGCGGAGTTGTTTTGATGCAATTTTTTTACCTGTGTGGCCATTTAACATCTCTTTACCTTCATTTTTTTTTAAAGGCCATTAGTGGGGTTTGTCGTTGGTATAAGATGGATGCAAAACCAATATGTGTGTGTGTGCGCGCGAGCCCGCACCCTCGCGTTGTCGGCGTTTAAAAGGGGGAAGTTGCGTTTGGGGGTCGCCCGTAAGAAGCTGTCGGCCGCCGGAATCGAAATCCCGTCGCCCGCTTCGGAAGGACTTTTTTAATTTACATATATATATATAATTTTAGAAAAATATGGAATCAAACTGACCTCATATTTTTCACAAATTTAAATGAAAGAGCGCTCTACCTCAAATCCTGTATCTATCCCGAGGGATAAACACAAGACTTGAGGATGAGGCTCAATCAAATAAACTAAGAAAGATATGACATCCGTTTGGGTCTGCGAAACCATTTTATTTGCCGACAAGTTCCCCTATTTAATACAAAGAATTAAATAGG